TTTCACATAATTCTTAGAATTTTGTAGATCAACTAATTAATGATTTTTTATTCATTTCTTTACTTAGAATAAATTCTTTTGAAATAAAGATATATGTTCTCCACCACCATGTGTCCATTTTTGAAATGTTTGGTGGTTCAGTTTAACCCCAAGAATTTAGTTTATGCTTCTTGCACCCTAAACTTAATTCCTTTTCCAGAACTAATTCCCATGCAGTAAAATGTAGTACTCCAAAAATTGACCTCGAGTCCTTTGCTGCATTCGAATTTGTCTACACAGTGAAACATGTTTCAGTCCCCTGCAGTTTCAAGTCGTATTGCAGATATAGATGTTCTGACTTAAATTGTGTCGAAGAAAGGACAGAGACAAGAGGCTCCGAGGTGAGAAATACTGGTGCCCCCAAGTTGAGCAGTGTGCACCATAACTCACGTTTGACATGGATGATTTCATTGCATTGCAGCAGTGTCAGAGCAAACGCAGTGGAGCAGCATCTCATTGGTGCGTGCATGCTACAAGACACCCACAGCTAAGATCTCAAGCAACTCAATCAGGCAGCAAATCTGGTGGTGGAATGGGACATGGAGGTATTGCCCGCATGCCTGTCTGACACCCATGGAAGCAGATCTGGTGGCAGTGTCCGGTGGGGGCATCATGTCTTGTGGCTCGTCACCCTGTGATAGATACCAAACCAGGTTGCTCTAGTCTTATCATGCCATGAGATTGGTGGCATTCTCTACTGATCTGGACTTGTCATGGCAAAATGCAGGGAATACAAGCAGGCTATTCTTAGGGCTCCTGTCCTGTTTCAGACACCATGGTCCTACCACGCTGGGAGCCTTCAAGAATGCAGGACAATCTGGTGCTGTGAGGTATGTACAAATGGTTGGCCTGTTGTAGTTGGAAAATCTTCATTTATATTTTACCCTGAAGAAGCATTTGTATCTCCCAATCAACCCATTGCCCAGTTGTCTGTATAATTGGTTTCTACGATACATAATAGTTCTGAACTTGTATTTTGCTCGGAAAACTACAAGAACTACAATAAACGACAATAACATAAGAGCATTCGTTATAGTTCATGGAAAATTCTACACCCTCGTTGCGTCATTCCAAATCCTTTTGTTTTTTCATATTTCTAAACTATCAAACAGAATCCTTCAAGAACAAGTTTATGGTGGCAACAAAGTGTTGCTACTGTTTCTCGAGTTTTTGGAATCAGACTTTCGAAGACATGATAGAATATTTTCCACGTATATTAACAATTCATAACACTAATATTTTGTAGGGTGGCAATGACAATTAAGGTTCGTGGCCATTAGTATGATAATCGAACACTTTTTTTCAAAAAAGACTTGTATTATTAAAATAAATATAGTACATCCATTGTTAAGAAAATCATCATATTTAGAAAAAGGATCCTATGATCTTTTCATTAAAAAAAAATTTTCATTGACCCGACGGGTCGAGCTAGTAAGTGTGCATATATTTTTTTCGTACATATATAAAGTCATTTGATCGATATGTTTATTGAAAAGATCAAAATATAATATATACACATCAATATTAAAAAAATAGATGTTAAAGAGTTATTGTTTCAAGGTATAAGATAGTAGTAACCCAGTACATGATCACAAGATCTTGGGATTGTTAGCAGCTAAAAAAAACTTTTCTTTCAAAAAAAATAATGAAAAGGGAGTTTTTTTTTCTATGTATTACTTGGAATTATGTAATCATCATCATCAGTGATGATACGGTACAGTAGAAACACTAAATATTTGTTCAAAGACATACACATGCCAAGTTAATAGTGCTGCTTCATGTGTGATTGCTACGATAAAAGACATTGTGCCAATAGAAACCCCCTACAATTTGCTGAACAAACACTGCATTAAATATCTTTTGAGATTGAGATTGAGATTGAGATTGAGATTGAGATTGATATAATACGGCCCAAGCCAAAGAAGAGCAAAGGTGGATCATGTGAAATAGTGCACCAGCTACAGAAATTTATCTTATCGTCACCAAAATTGAATGGACTCGATTAACGTTAGGTTGTGAACCATAGGATCTCTTTCTGCCCAACTCCACTTGCAAGGTAGAGGAAAAAGATACCAAGTGGCCGACGCAAAAGTGCTCTATGGTGACTTGTGGTCTCTGCTGACTTGTATTACTACCTCTTAAGATCAACAGCTCTACTTTTAGACGAACAGCACCAGACCTTGAAATTAAGTATGGATGATGACAGCCGGCGAAGATCATGTTGAAGGGAACTAATGTTATAGTGGAACAATCAGATGAATGAACTAATGTTATAGGATGAATGTTAAGATGGATCGCTGAACAAGTGAGAGAGAAAGAAGTGAGGAACAATCAGATGAATGAACCAAGTTTGAGTGTTTTTTCTTTTTTTTTTTTGATTCAGATCTGTGAACTACCCACCGTGATGGTGACACCACTCTTGTGTGTGCATCTCATGATGAAGTTAACAGAAGAGGAGCGAGCTGTTGCTTACCATGCGAAACAGTTCTCATCATGTGCAGGCGTACTCTCATTCCGACTGATGCATTTGCAAGGATATCACTGTTCGAACACTCCATGCTCAATTTTACTTTAAAAAAAAAAAGATGCTGCAAGTATAAAAGATTTTATAGAAAAAGATACCAGATATTCAAAGAAAGTTTATCAAGCAGAAGTTCTCTCTCTCTTTCTCTTGTCTGTGTCACTGTTAAAATATTTCATGTTTAAATTTCCTCTCAACAACTTAAAAACAAAAAGGATTATGTTGCATATTCAAAAGAGATCATTGTGAGCAAGTTGAAGCTCTCCCTCTTTCTCAATGGTTGTGTCAGTGAAGATACTTGAAAATAGAGGTTATTGTGATCGAGTTGTAGCTCTTTCTCTCTCCTATTGATGTTTATCTTTTTTTTTTTGTCTCTCTGCTTGTGTTTTCTTCTGGTCATTTGGCTCCGATGTGCGTGTCTGTGGAAATGCGTTGTGAAAGCGGCCACGGCACATGGGTCGTGTCTTCGAGACTTTCAGTCAACCCTTTCACTTTTAGCCACTTCAAAAAGTGCTATATGTATCAGCTCATCAAAAGCTAAGTACAGTGAAAATGCTGATTTGGACGTTCGGGGACTCTCGCATGATCAAACACATCTTTTTTTTTTTCTTGTGTCCTGACTTCTCAACAGGACCTGTGCTTCACAAGATTCTCATTGTTAATTGAGAAGAGTGACTGTTTCTTTTCATGTGATGTCCCTATGAGTTGGGACTAATGCGAGGTGACTACATGTTGCTCTTCGGTTGTGCAGTCCCAATCACCACCAAAATTTCTCTAGTGACCATGCCTACAAGCACATGGTTACTCATTTTGAGGTTTAGCAAGTGGTATATTTACCTTGATTGATTATGTGGTCCATCACTGTTGTCATATTTGCAAGTGAACAGCATATGATACAAGGCAACTATGAAGAAAAAAATCTAATCTGCTGGCTTGTTTTTTCATTATGGTATTTTTGTCCACTGAATAATAAACTATAACCATATGCATGTGTGTGTGCAACAAAATTTGTAAGCAAGATATAGCAGAACTAACATTGGAAAAATGTGTACTTGCTGCTGCTTGTTGAAAAAATTACTCTACAGGGAGCTCCTCACTGATTAGTTCAACCATGCGCCTGAATTGTGTTATCGTCTTAAAGTTAAGAGTGCCAGGATGATGAAGAATTCGCAAACTAATAAAGTATTCATCTAATTAACCCACATCTCTTGAGAAAAGCTAGCACGTTTTTTTTCCATTGATCTCATATATTTTTATTCATACAAGACCAGTTCTCAAAGAATACTCTTCTCCTTGTCATTATTATCTATATTACTTTTTATTTTTTTTAGGACTAATTATAAATTATCCTCTGTATTTAGACCCTCTTTGTATTTTAAAAATTTATATTAAAATTCTCATAATTATGAAAGTTGTTCTTATTTTTCCTAAACATTGTTGGCTGTATTAATGAAAGACAACACAACTTCGAATTACTCATTCCATGAATGGTAAAATGATTTCTTCCCCCATATTGGTCTCTTCCCCTCCATCTCACTCCAGTGCATGTCCGATCCATTCCAGTTCAGTAATTTGCTTCAGATGGCTGAGTAATTTGCATTGGGGATTTGGCCACTGCATGGCCAGAGTAATTGGCTTTGCGCTAGGCAACATTAGCATGCAGCATTGAACAACAAAGCAGCAACAGAATTCATTGGATGTGTACACTGATATGAGACTACAGCAGCATTATTCATCTCAACAACAAAGCGACAGCAAAGAATACACTGATATGAGACTGTAGCAACAACATCATCTGAAACCTTTTAAGTGAATAACAATTCTCCTCACCAGAACAACAATTCATATGAAACTGCTGCATTCATTTGGACAACAATTCCAAGTAGGAAAGCTTTAAATGAAAAAAACAGTACAAGTATGCAAAGCCTTGACAAGTCTGCTGCTGCATTCAAAAAATAGCATTCAAAATGGAGGTTCCCAATACTGCTCAAAACACCAATAACAAACACTGATAAGTCTGCTACTGTCTTGAAAAAACAACATTCAAAATGGAGATTGAAAGTTGCATCAATCACAAACTCTAATCCTCTCGAACCTTAATGAATAGACCTCTTCCTCAGCGATTGCTGAAAATAAATAGAGCTCTCCCTCTCTCGATGAATCATAATTAAAATTTTTCTATCAAAATTAGAGTCAACTAAGAAGTTTTAATTTGAGCAAAACAAATGAAAACGGAATGAATATTGAAATTATCTTTTTGCTCGTTAGATTTGCTCCAATCCAGCACATGATGTCACATGCTGTGCCTTTCGTCAAGACAACCGATGTTGCCAAGAAAATTGGAGTCAATTATTTCACTTTTATAACTATATAGATTCCAATATAAATTTTCAAAGTATAAGAACCATAATACTAAGAGGGTCCAAGTACAGAAGTAATATATAATTAATCCTTTTTTTTCTCAATATATGACTTGTCTAAGTAGCTGATACTATCAAGCAAATATTCCTAGTTAGATAAAACTTTAATAGTCCAATAAATCAAACTTCTTAGAAATACTTATTTTTGAGACTTCTGAAGTTATTTTATACCCTCAGACAAAATATTATATCTTGTCTCTCTGTGCAACAAGGCCATGACCCTATAAGTTTCATCCTCACCCAACATTATTTAAGGACCACCTAAGTCTCCTACCATAATGGCAGAATTAGGCATCTAGCTAGTCTGCTAACAATGGATTTTCACATGAGGGAAAAATCAATCGAGAAATCTAAACTATTGATCATGAGCACTCATATATTCCACATGAAACCTGAAATTTCTCCTCGTGAGACCATTCATCGGATGTGAATACCCAATGGTGCCTTCCTGGGGTTTATTGGAAACTGTTAATCTGTAAACACTCCCAGTGACATTTTCTTATTTCCAAGCAGCAGGAAGGTCAGAGTCCACTGAAGGTTTCAGTTGTTGGCTCAAAAACCAGAGATGTCTTCACAACAAGAAATGTGAGCAATCATCCTATTCTATGTGTGGGTGACATAGCAAGCAGATCACTTTCCTAAGGTCACAAAGCAGTCTTTTTATGAGAATTGTCATGTCGAATGATCTAGTCAAGATTCAGCTTTTCTCTGTTCATCCGACATTTGCATAATTCTTGAATTGGCTATAAAGATAAACACAAAAGCATAATCCAAAGAGTCATCTGGGTTTGGTTGCCCGACATATTTGAGTGGAAGAAAAAGTTTACATGTATCAAACAACTTCAAATGATCGAAAACTCATTAGAACTCACCTTTGATTCTTAGCAGTGGCACCGAAAGCTTCCATAACTAGCAATGGGAGCACCTCACATGCCAGGTTTCATCCTCCTATCTCGTTCCTTCAGCCTGGGTCATATGAACAGGGCTCGAGTTCAGGTAGATGCTTTCTGCTGAAAACATCCTAATCCATGAATTTGCATCAATAACCATTTAAAATAGCAAGAGAATAACATAAATCTAGTCCAGGCTTAAACATGAACTTGATGCATGTATGAAGTCCTGTTGATACAACTCCCTTACCTGTGACTTTGTCCAAGATGTGAAGTAGTACTAGTCCACAATGGAAGCAGGTACTTGGTGACCAGCATCAAGCCTTTACTTCCTTACTACGAATTCATCAGATGCTTGCCATATCAAAACAGATGCTACACCCTTATTCATCCTTGCTTTCTGCAGACCCAACTCAGCAAGCTGAGCAGTCCTCTGCTTGTCATCTTCCTGGCTTCCTTTGAGGGGAATATATAAATTCCAAACCATTGGAGCAGGTGCATAGATAGACTCTTGAATCATCGCACTTCCCCTTCTTTCCCCTTCCTCACTTATTGGGAAGAGAGGGAAGGATGGATTCTCTCCAGCTTTCGCTACCAATCAAAGTCAACTACAAAGTTATATAGCTGCAAGCCTGCAACCACCACCAAACACATTAATCTGTAAACAGCTTTCTTATGCAGCCTAGTGTTCGTCCATCACCAACACTCTCAACGTCACTGGACAGCTATCCTGCACTGAATCGTACCGTGGCAGGGGCGAAGTAGTAGTGTGTGAAGGAGAGAGGGTGAAGTGAGAAGGGAGTGGTGGGTAGAAAGATGATCTCGTGGCACGACCTGTATACGGTGCTGGCGGCGGTGGTGCCGTTGTACGTGGCGATGATCCTGGCTTATGGATCCGTGCGGTGGTGGGGAATCTTCACGCCGGACCAGTGCTCCGGCATCAACCGCTTCGTCGCAATCTTCGCGGTGCCGCTCCTGTCCTTCCACTTCATCTCCACCAACGACCCCTTCACCATGAACCTCCGCTTTATCGCAGCCGACACCCTGCAGAAGCTGCTCGTCCTGGCGGCCCTCGCCGCTTGGTCTAATCTCCTCCCCCACCGCCACCCGCTCCCCGGCGGCGCTGCCCCCCTCGACTGGTCCATCACCGTCTTCTCCCTCTCCACGCTCCCCAACACCCTGGTGATGGGCATCCCGCTCCTCATCGCCATGTACGGTCCCTACTCCGGCTCCCTCATGGTCCAGATCGTCGTCCTCCAGTGCATCATCTGGTACACCCTCATGCTCTTCCTCTTCGAGTTCCGAGCCGCTCGCCTCCTCATCGCCGAGCAGTTCCCCGACACCGCGGCCTCCATCGTCTCCTGCCGCATCGACCCCGACGTCGTCTCGCTCGACGCCGGCGCCGCAGAGGCGGCCGCCGAGGTCGGCAGCGACGGCAAGATACACGTCACCGTACGCAAGTCCACGTCGTCGAGGAGGTCGGCAATGATGACCCCCCGACCCTCCAACCTCACCGGCGCAGAGATCTACTCGCTCAGCTCCTCCAGGAACCCCACCCCGAGGGGTTCCAATTTCAACCACGCCGAGTTCTTCGCCATGGTCGGCGGGGGCGCACCGGCCCCGGCATTCCGCCCCTCGAGCTTCGGCGCCGCCGATATCTACTCCCTCCAATCCTCTCGAGGCGCCACCCCGCGCCCCTCCAACTTCGACGACGACCAACATCACCGCTACCTCCACCACCAACCGCCGGAGATCTCCACCGCTGAAAAGAAGCCCTACCCACAACTCAACTACCATCGACACCACCACAATCGACCCGGTGCTGCAACGGCGACGGCGGACGCGAAGGAGCTGCACATGTTCGTGTGGAGCTCGAGCGCGTCGCCGGTGTCGGAGGTGAGCGGGATTCACGCCTTCGGCGGCCAGGATCTCGCATCATTGGAGCCCGGTGGCCGCGCCGATCACGGGGCCAAGGAGATACGGATGCTCGTGCCCACCGAACTCGCCCGCAATGGCCCCACCACTAAAGGTGCAGTACCAATACTTTATTCTTCCTATTACTCCCTTTACCGTAATATTTATACGTGCGTGGGGTACACCAGCAGGTGACGCGTGCCGGGCGGAGGAGTTCAGCTTCGGGGGCGAAATGAGGGAATCGGAGCAGCAGACAGGCGTGAGGGCAACGCGGGTGCTGCAGAAGCTGGGGTCCAGCTCGACGGCGGAGCTGGACCCGAAGGGCGGAGGGACGCCCGACGGGAAGAGGGCGGGCGGCGCGGCCCACCACCAGATGCCTCCGGCCAGCGTCATGACCCGTCTCATCCTCATCATGGTGTGGCGCAAGCTGATCCGCAACCCCAACACCTACTCCAGCCTCATCGGCCTCGTCTGGTCCCTCGTCGCCTTCCGGTCCCAATGACCACCACCACCATCTAACATCTGATCATTCAGCTAGTAACAATGTCATTGACCTCAATTTCAATGGCGTGCAGGTGGCACGTGACCATGCCGAAGATAGTAGAGCAGTCCATCTCAATCCTCTCCGACGCCGGCCTCGGAATGGCCATGTTTAGCTTAGGTAAGCTGCTTGCGCTGTAATCCGAGAGATGACATGTAGCACACGATTTGATGATGTGGGATTGGCAGGGCTGTTCATGGCGCTGCAGCCGCGAGTAATCGCGTGCGGGAACAAGGTGGCGACGTTCGCGATGGCCGTCCGGTTCCTGGCCGGGCCGGCGGTGATGGCTGCGGCGTCCGTAGCCGTCGGGCTACGCGGGACGCTCCTCCACGTGGCGATCGTTCAGGTCATGCGCTGGTGTCCCGTTTCGGTTCCTACCGTCTTGATTTGACGGGGGATGGGAATGGCGGTGTCCGTCATTTCGCGGCTGCCGTCTGATCTCTGACGCTGCACGTGTCGGATCATCATAGATATTAATATTGGACCACAATAGCTGTTAGGAAGACTCACATGCGATGTTTTTGTTGTATCAGGCGGCGCTTCCGCAAGGCATTGTGCCCTTCGTGTTCGCCAAGGAGTACGGCGTCCACCCCGCCATCCTTAGCACAGCGTAAGCAGCAAACAAGCACTAAAGAAGAAGAAAAATCACTTTGGAGTGTGACATGAACATATTATTTTCGGAACTTGCAGGGTTATATTTGGGATGCTGATTGCGCTTCCCATCACTCTGGTTTACTACATCCTCCTCGGTCTATGATATGCTGCTTCTCTCCGCGACTCACATATCGGGGATGATGCGCGCAAGGCCCTGCCTGCCCATGGTGGATTCAGGTGGCATTGACACATCGCAGCTTATCAAATGATGGGAAGACATTGTTGGAGGAGGCGCCACCTGAGAGTATTCGTAGGTAGATTGGTCGATTGCTGTATTCCACATGAAGGAAACGGTGCAAGGCTTCAAAGCACATGTATTGGAGCCCCCTTTTTCTTAAGGAAGACAAAAGAAATGAGAAATGTTCTTCCCTTTTTTGCTTTTCGCTCTTTAGCTCTGCTTCTGTGCTATCACTACCGACTTCGTCTGCTTCCAGATGCGAAGAGGGTCTGTTTGGCGGGTAACTCGAAATCATCTTTTACGCAGAACATATACCCCCTGCTGCAAAAGCAGTAATCACAATATCCATTGCTGGAAGCTACATGGGGCCATTCTAAATTTCAAGCTTTGGGAGCTTCTGCAATCTCACCTTGGAAGCGTCTGTTGGCCCAGCAGATCATGACGCGTCCCGTCCTAGCGTGGAATGGGCTGGCACTACATCAGCGACGAAGGCATATCGTGTGCCTAAAAGCACAGCCATGGGCATGGTGTGTCAGCTTCTTGCAGGAACAGGGCCCTGTGCAATGGATGCACTACTACGCCGTCAGTGGAGACTACTCGTACTCCCATTCCTATGTAGTCCAATCAAAACTGAACAGTGTGTGGAGAAAGGGACGGTGAAGACGGGGAACGCTTGTGATCGTGCGCGGTGTGGGACTGTCCTCTTGTGGTCTCTGCAGGCGAGTAGATTAGCGTTAAATGATATGCAAAGTAGAGGTTGCCGTGGATCGTGCTCTATCTACCACACCCTTGCAAGTCCTTGCCCGTTGTGCAAAGATGAAGGTTTCGAGATGTGTCGTCAGATAATAAAATAATATAGAGGTAAACGGTACTATATATGTATATATATATTACCACAATACTTGAAATATCCATCTATCAGGATAATTAGAATAGTATCGGTTCGTTCGTTCGATATGTAAATCAGTTAAATCTTTGGTGTAGAAGATTTATATTTTTAGTTATCATATTTTCGGCACATCTATCAAAATTTTATAAACCTATTAATTTTTTTTAAGGTAAA